GCAGGCCCTCGGGCGCCGCGCCGCGCGGCGGCGGCGCGCGGCCGCCGGCGGAGGAAGCGGCCGGGGACGGCGCCGCCGCGGCAGCAGCAGCGGCCGCCGCGCCGGGCGCCGCGGCGGCGGGGCGGAGGGCGTCGGCATCCACCACGACGAAGGTCAGGGCTGCCTCGTTGTCCTTCTCTGTGCGCAGCTGCTCGCAGCCGGCACGCAGTGCGTGCGTGTGGTTGGTTTAATGCGCGCTGGGTGGCAGCACAGCGCCTGGGGCCTGCCCAGCAAGCGTGCCGCTGTAAGACTGCCCGTCAGCGCGCGCTGCTGCTCACCCGTTTGAACATTGGCAGGATGCTCTTGCAGGGGCCGCCCCAGCTGTGGACCTCGACCACTGGAGAGGGTGGGGTGCCATGTGCGTGACGAGAGTCAGCCGAGCTGCCCTCGGCTAGGCTGTTGCAGAATGCGACACTCATGGCATTCTCACATCAGGCCCCGCTAACAGCCGACGTCGAGCGCCTTGTCTCCGCGCCCGCAGAACCACATGCCTTTGAGCCCCTTGCCGCCTAGGAACTGTGGGCCGACAAGCTCGTCCGCGCTGGCCACCAAGTGCTGAAGGGGCGGCGGTGGCGCCGCCATGCTGCGCACACGTACCAGGCGGCCACGCGTCAGCAGCCAGGATGCGCGTACAAGTGATGATGGGCAGGGCGAGCGGGCGGCAGCGGATGCGTGCAGCGCGAGCAGTGCTGCCAGCGGCGCAATAGCACACGATTACCTCGATCCGAGTCTTAGGGGTCTGACAGGTTGTTGAAAGTAAGTTCGTCACCTAATATATGCGCCTGGCACCGGTTGCAAATATACCTATGATCCTTCCGCGGTCAACGTGATCTAGGTTGCGTTCCTTCTCATACCTGACCGTGTACATGCGCATAATCATACGCAAAGTGTTGTGTGTATGATGTATGCCTTGGCGGGCATGACAGATCACAATGTCATTCAAAGCTGTGCCTGGAACCCAGCCTACCCCTTGCATGGGGGTGGTGGCCTTGCCCCATTTACATAAAACGACGGTTGCCTGTGAGATCAATCAAAGCCAATGCTGCCATTCCGAAGCGAATCCTCTGCAGGTCAACATTGGCAGTCACTCGGCAGCCCAAGCCACGGTCGCGCTGACCAGGGTGGTGTGTGAAGATGTTGTGTGCTGCCTGCACACCATGCTTTGCCCCCTTTCACGACACAACACCAGTACCTTTGCCCCACAACCACGTGGCTTCACAGCACACTGGCGGTTGAGGAAGAATTGCTGTGCCCTGTGCTCGGCCAGTGAATGATTCACAGAAGTTTACACGAGAGACAGCAACCAAGCGCTACCGCCGCGACGGCGTCACAAAGTCGTGCGTCTTGCCCGACCCGATGCAGCCGTAGTTGCACTGCCGCGTGCAGGAGCGCAGCAGCCGCTGCCGGTCCGCCGGCGACAGCTGCAGCCCGGAGTTTGCCTGCGGCCGAGGGAGGGGCCCGGAGGCGGCAGGGTCACGCCCGCGGCACCGCCCAGACGGCGCGCGTATGTTAAGACAAGCCCTGCTTTCACTTATGATCAGCCCAGCGGCTGAGTCTGTCACCCGAATTTGATGGCACGCCGTGCGAGCGCCGCGCTTCTCCGCACCCCTGCCCGCCCCAACCCGTACCAGCTGTTTCGCCGCCTCTGCGTCCAGCGCCGCCGAGCACGCCGCCTTGCAAGACGACGAGCATGCCGGCTTCAGGTCCGGCCCCGTGGACCGCTTGCACAGCAGATTGCTGCCCAGGCGCAGCTGCGGCACACGCAGCAGCGGCGGGGCGGCGGCGGCGGGGGCGAGCGTCGGGAGGACGCAGCCGGCGAGGGCGGCGGCCTGCACAGGCCAAGGCGGGATCCGATCCAGGCCGCTGCAGACGGTCTCCACGCGCGGCAGCTGACGCTGCCTCGCTCATGCGCGCCCTTTCGTGTCGCAACCCCGACACGCCCCGCCCCGCCCCCCTTCGCGGCGCCCGCGCCTGTACGCCTCGCGCGCCGCGCCTCGGCCGCGCACCTTGTCGCCGGTCGACAGCCCCTGAAACTCAGGGCTCTCCATGGCCTCGTCCACCGCGCTGACGCACGTGTCCACCGTGAAGCCCCGCGACCGCGACAAGACCTTCTCGCCGTCAAGCTGCTCTATGCTGTACATCTTCTGATTGGTGCCTGCGCGGGCCACGGCGGGTTTGGCCCCGGGGCGTGGGGCCGGGCCCCGGTTGGCGCGGGGCGAGGGACGGGGGTGCGCGGCGCGCGCGGGCGCGAGGGACGATCGCGTTGCGAGGACGCTGCCGCGCTGGCATTGCCGCGGCCGGTGACGCCGTGCTCGCCAGTGGGTCGGATCGTTTGCGTTCATCCTGCAGCGGCGCGCAAGGCATGCCATCGGGGCCGATGCGCAGCGGCCAGCTGATGCACAGAGGCCCTGGCTGCCGGTTACGCACCATACAGAGTGAAGGGCTCGGGCCCCTCATCTTCGTTGCCGCCAAACAGGCCCGCCATATCGCCGATGGGGCACGAGGGCAATGACTCTACCGCACCCGCCGCCGCGGCTGGCACGGCCGTCTCCACCACTGCTGCTGCCGTGCTGCTTGGCCCCACCGCTGCTGCGTACGATGACACATTGCCAGACTGGAAGACAAGCAGGCTAGCTGCTAAGGCCCCAGCGAAGCGCCGCATGGCAGACAAATCGAGGCCTAAGGCGGAGGACGCTGTGACACCTTCCCCCCATGCTGAAGCTGCGGCTGTCGCGCACCAGCTGCATCGCCGCAAGGGTGGCGCGGCCGGCGCTGCTGCCCTGGACGCTCTCAAATTGCAGGAAGAGGGCAATCCTTGCGGCTGCCATGCTGCAGAGGCAGCCATTGAGCGTTGGTGGCGCGTAAGCATTGCGAGATGACAGTGGCTCCGATAGTCTTTTCTGTGGCTCTGCTTTGAATGGCTGTAGGATGTGCAGAGCCTCTTAAAATAATCTGTTCACAATCATGAGAAATAATACCGTAAGGTGCAACACTCTTCACCGGCTGATGTGGCACCAGTGTCAAATCGATCTGGGATCTCTAAGCAGCGTTTGGGACAGTGACTGTAACTTTGTATCTCAAGAAGGTTGCTCATCTATTATATGATGGGCTCTGTTCTCTGACTTGGTCAAAGCCTGGCCGAGCTCAGGATCCGTGACACAGAGCTGCCCCAAGTTTCGATATAGTATCAAAATTATGGAGGAAGAATCAGTGGCTTTGGTACGAGGGGCTCACGCCGTCGAGGGAAGGATGCATTATGGCATCTCACGCTGCTGCTGCTGCTGCTGCTGCTGCTGCTGCTGCTGCTGCTGCTGCTGCTGCTGCTGCTACCGCTTTAAAAGCTTGGGTGGTTCACACGCCGCACTCTGCGATTGGCACGCATGGTGCGGCACGCCGCCAACCAGCAACCGCATGGCTGCCGATGCCGCAGGCTTTGGGCCATGTGTTCGGCATGTCGCCCTGCCGCGGCGCCACAGTAGTCAGCCTTGCCGGCCCTGGGACCCCTGCGCGCGTCGCGTACGCGGCGGCTCACACTGTGGTGCTTTATGACCACCGCTCGAAGCGCCAGTCTTTCCTGCAGGTAAGCGGCTGCAGCGGCGCAAGTTTTCCTTCTCGGCACCCTGTATGTTTACACACCAGCGCGCAGGACAGCCCCTGTGCAACTGCAAAGACATTTTGAGGACCCCGGCCCATTGGCACCATGCCGCTGTCCCAGGGCCACCGCAACGCCGTGTCCTGCCTGGACGCGCCGTCAGACCGGTCCCTCCTGATTTCTGCAGACGGCGGCCCTGGTGACACGATGGTGGTGGGATGGGACCCGGAATCGGAGCAGGCAGTGTGGACGGCGCGCGACCCACACGCGCGCGGCGTGGCGGCGATGGCACTTTCCCCCGACGGTCGCGTTCTGGCGACGCTCGGCGCGGTGGCGCCGGGCGGCGGGGAGCAGCAGGAGGTAAGGGGGTGCCTCGGGACAGGGGCGGGGTGGGGGCGGCGCCGGTGGGAAGCCTGCAGCAAACTCCTGCGTTGGCTGCAGCGGCTCCAGAATCCGCTCTGAAGCGCGAGCGTCCAAGGGGTCGAGCAAGCGGAGTCAGCGCATCCTGCTGATCAACTTACCTCGACCACATCTGATTGCAGCTGGCCCTGTGGGGCGTCCCTCAAGCACCCGCAAGCCACGAGCCTGGTGACGTCAGCACGCCGCCCCACGAGCACCCGCCGCGTGAGCTGACGCGCCTGGCGACGACGCCCATCCCCGGCGGCGACGAGCAGACGTGGGTGCGCTTCAGCCCAGATGACCCGACAGAGCTCGTCACCAACGGGGCGCGCCGCGTGTACTTCTGGCGAGCGCCGCCGCAGCTGCAGCAGCGCGCCGCGGCGGCGGCGGCGGCTTCGGCGGTGCCGGCAACACCGGGCGCCCCGGGTGCAGCGTCGCAGGGAGCTGTGGGCGGCAGCGGCGGCCGCTGCACGGAGCAACTGGCCCCCATGTCATACTATTCGCCGCCGCTGGCGGCGGCGGATTTCAGGCAGGCTGTTGGGGCGTTCCTGGCGTCGGTGTTCGTCCCTGGCACAACACAGGTGCGGCGGACGGGTCCGCACTCGTAAACGGGCACCGGGTCAAACAACTGACAAGAAAGGCCTGCCGAGATGCGTCCCCTGATAATCCAGCATTGCTGCCAGACGCGACGCGGTCACCTCAGGGCTGAAGCGACCGAGGCGGTGCGGTGCCACCACAGGCTGTTACGAGCACCGCTGATGGGGACGTGGTGGTCTGGGATGAGCAGGGTCTGAGTGCATCCAACGGCGCACGAGCATCTGACAGGCACGCCACCAAGGTGGGGAGGCTGACAATTCAGCTTGGTTGGGCGGCAGCGGCGCGGGGCCGCGGCAGCGGCATCAGCTGCGAAGGAAGCAGCAATGGCAATGGCAGTGCGTGGAGAATTGCGGCGGCATAACAGCACCCCCAGGGGCATCTGAACGGCAGCACAGATGGCAGCGGCAGCGGAGGTCGTAGCCAGCGATTGCAGCAGCAGCTGCCTGTTTGCAGTGCCCTGTGTCCACGAGTTGCCCCCTTGGACCCTGTGTCTCCAGGTGATGCGGCTGCACGAGAAAGCAATACCCTTCCTGGGCACGGTGGGCGGGTTCGTCGTGACCGGCGGCGCCGACGGCCTGGTGAGAGGGTCCGCGCGGCGGGCACCGTCGGCCCGCCTTTCAGAAGCCAGGGCCTGCCCCCACTTGGTCAGCCGGCTTGCCACGCGGCGACAGGGCGTGGGCTGGAGGCGCTGTCAAGCGCAGACCCCTTGCCGCGGCGGCAGCAGCGCAGCATCTTTCAGGCTGCCTGTGTGCACGCCTATGCTCGCATCGGCCGACCGCTGAGTGTCTGGTGCCCGCTGCCGCCACGCGCAGGTGCGGTTCTATGACAGCTCCCTGCGCCTGGCCGCGTGGTTTGAGGAGCTGCGGGCGGGACCGATCGCGGCGGTGTCCTTTTCAACGGCAGGGCAAGCCAAGCCAGCCGCGGCCAGCAAGCTCAACAGGTGAGGACCTCGGTGCTGCAACTGCGTGCGCGGTGATGTGTGTGCGTGCATGCATGCGCGCGCGCGTGCGCGCGTGCGTGTGTTTGTGTTTGTGTGTGTGTGTGTGTGTGCGCGTGTGTGTGTGTGTGTGTGTGTGTGTGTGTGTGTGTGTGTGTGTGTGTGTGTGTGTGTGTGTTTGTGTGCGAGAGAGAATCCCCGGCGTGCGTGGGCGCTAACTAGATCAGCCGGCCGGTGACATCAGCAGGCTGCAAGCCGTCGATCGCCGTGTCAGGTGGCGACAGCGGCCCTGCCCCGCCCTGCCCCCTTGCCCCGCCGATCAGGTTTGTCTGCCCCGACTTTGTCGTGGCCACGGCCCAGGGCAAGCTCCTCGCCCTTTCCGCCTCTGCCTTCGACGGCGCGGAGCCCCCGCTCGGCGCGGGCCCGCTCGCGGCCAGCGCGGCCAGCAGCGGCCTGGGCCTCGGCGCCGGCGCGGGCGTGCAAGCCGCGCTGCGCGGGGAGGTGCTGGTCGAGGCGCCGGCGCTGGACACCGTGGACATAGCCGCGCACCCCATGCGGCCCGAGGTATTCGTCCTCGGCGCGAGCGGGACCCTGCAGCGCTGGGACGTCGCCGAGCGCCGCTGCGCCGCGTCGCGGCGGCTGCCGCCGGAGTGCAAGCGGGCGCGGGCGGCGGTCGTGGCGCGGGACGCAGCGTTTGTGGCGGTGGGGTGCGAGGGCGGGCACGTGGTACTGGTGGACGCGGGCAGCCTTGAGGACATTGCCGTGATGCGCAACAGCGGGCAGCCAATAGAGAGGTGGGCGTGCCCGCAGCTTGCAGCTTGACATACCACACCGAGAATTCGTTGGGGCTGAGGTTGATTGGGGGAGTGCTTGCCAAGGGTCTTTCGTCCCTCTATACACGCCTTGGGCCGTCAACTTTGGCAGGCAGTAGATAGTTCCCATCATCAGTGGCACCCAACTGGCATGCGCGGGGTTTAGTGGGGCTGCAAAGCTTCTCTGCCGTGGTGCTCCTGAGCGCGCCCACGCACGCCGCCGCTCCCGGCGCCTCAGGCTTGCGACGTCGTCCAACGGGCGGCTGCTGGCGGCCGCGGACTCCGCCCACCACGTGCTGCTGATGGCCCTGCTGCCGTACAAGGGCACGTCGCACCTGAAGTGGGAGTTTTTGGGCAGGGCCAGGGCGCACCACGGTGGGCTGGCGGGCAGAAGGGTGTCCGCGCTTTGGGCTGGCTGCTGCGATGTTCTGTCATGTACCTGGCAGCGCAGCCAGCTGCAGACTCGGGGCCTTTGCACAGCGGAGCGACAGTGTGAAGATAGACGCTCCCCATGTGAAGCCCCACCCCGCATGCGTGACTGCGAGGCACTTGCTGCCTGCGTGTGCCCCCTCGTGTGTCCAGGCCCAATCGTGGCGCTGGCATTTGGCGAGTCGCCCGCCGGCCAGACGCGCCTGTTCAGCCTGGGCGCGGACGGCCGTGTTATGGAGTTTGACCTGCGGCCCGGGCCGGGGCCGGCGCTGCGGCTGCTGGCCGCCCACGACGTGGCGGGGCCCGGCGCCGGCGTGCCGAGCGCGCTGTGCTTTGCGCCGCCGATGCCGTACTGGGCGCGGTCGAGCACCGAGACGCTGCTGCTGGTTGCAGGTGGGCTGGCTGGTTTGGGGTGGCGAATCGGCCCTGAGCGTTCCTTTGCACTCCTCACCTGAAAAAAGGACCTGCCAGCCACAGTGAGAGGCGTGATACTGGCACCCCTTTTCCATGCGCCTTTCTTCTCACCGTCATCTCTCCTCTATGTGCCGCCCCTCCTCATGCTGCCCCTCCAGATGCGGCTTACAAAGTGCGCGCCTTCAACCCCGACAGCCGCGCCATGCGCGCGACGTTTCAGGGCCCCACGCACGGCGGCCCCATCACCCGCCTGTTGCCCTTCCGGTCGGTCGCGTCTGGTGAGGGGTGGGGCCTCGGGCGCTGCTGGCGCTGAGAGTGACACTCGAATTTCACCAATCAAACTCATGTTAGCTGGGCACAACAGCTGGCACGGTGCTGGAGGAGATGCGCAGGAAACAAAGGGACACAATTGCGCAATTACACATCGCAGGTGGCAGCTGGTTGGCGTACAGCACATCTGAGAGGGTCGTTGGCCTCATCGCATGGCCCCTGGTGAGCAAAGCGCGCACAGCGCAACCCATGCATGTCCCCTCTTGGCGCACGCAGCGCAATGCACGCAGTAGCGCTCTAGGATTGGTCGCATGATGCGTCCCAGAGAAGGCTTGAGAGCGCGTGATGTGCGCTGCAACCCCCTTGGTCCGCTAGGTGGGCGACCCAGAGTTGAGCATGGGCGTCATCGCGCATCCCGGCCGCGTGCTGGCGACGGCGGTGACCTACGACGGCCGGAAGCTGGTGACAGCGGGTGCGGGCCGGTGCCAGAGGGAGGACGCGGTCGGTGCTGCCTGGGACCGCGGCCCGCGAGCCTCACAAAGTGCACGCCAGCACGGATGCGAGTGGATATGCACGTTGTCAGCGGCTGACCCAGCATGCATCGCTCTGCCAGCGACCTGTGTGCTTGCCACCTGCAACCGCCGACCCGGCCGGTCCACGGCACACTCGGTGTGCAGCCTGAGCCGGGCGCCCGTTGCCCAGGGTCGCTGGCCGGGCGCGACGGCGGCGCACCCGGCATCCTGTTGTTGCACCTTGGCCAATTCAGTTGGCGCAACAAGATCGCTTGCATACCAACAATACGCGCCAACCCTGCACCTTGCTGCCATGTGACTTCTGCAGCGTTGCTTCCATTGCTCAACACCACCCCGCCACGGCCAACCCACCAACTTCCCCCCAGGGGAGGGTGGCATCATCAACGTCTGGGACATCGATACATCCGCCCTCGAGGCCCACGCCGCCGCCCTCTCTGCCGCCGCCGCGCGCGCCCCGCCGCCGTCGCTGCCGGCCGCCCCCGACGGCGCGGGCACCGGCGCCGCAGCGGCGCTGTCTGGCGCTGACGTGGCGGCGACAGGCGCTGACGTGGAGCGGTGGGCGACGCTGGTGGGCGATGCGGGGCTGGTGGAGGAGCTGCGGGACGCGTTCTGCTACGTGCAGCTCCGCGAGGCCGAGGCGGCGCGGGCGGCGGCCGGGGCGTTTGGCGGCGCGGGCGCCGGCGCCGGCGTGGCTCTGACGGGTAAGAGCCCAGCGCCGGCGGCGCCACATTTCCTGGGAGGCGTGTGCCGGCGCGCCTAGGCCTCGCACCGCCCTCCCTGGGCGGTATGAGGCCCGCGACCTTTGAGCCCGACCGGTGCCCATGGGATGCACCAACGCAGCGGCTGGCACCGCCCGCTTGCGGCGCTTCGCGCGCGGCCGAGAGTGCGCCCTCCCAGCTGCAGCCAGCGCTGACGTTGGCCCTGCCCCTCCTCCCTTGGCCCTTGCAGGGCGCGTCCCCTCGTCGGCGCTGCCAGACCTGATGCGCATCGCCGGCTTTTACCCATCAGAGGCTGAGGTGGCGGCGCTCATGGCGCACGTGCGCTTCCTGGCAGGGCTGCAGGCAGATGCTGACGCGCCGGCGCCGGCGCCGGCTGCCACAGGATCCGCGGCGGGCGCTGCGGGAAGCGGAGAGCGACGTCCGGCGTCCGGCGCCCGCGCGGCCGGCACAGGGGCGGTGCGGCAGCAGCAGCAGCAGCAGCAGCAGCAGCAGCAGCAGCAGCAGCAGCAGCAGCAGCAGCAGCAGCCCGCAGCGGATGCAGGGGGCCATACGGCGGGCACAGACGGCCACGGCCAAGCGGGAGAGCATGCAGCTGCAGACTTGGATGAGGGTGTGGACTTTGGGACCTTTTTGGCGCTGTACGTAAACCACCGGCCCCTGGGCGGCGTCACCCAAGCCGACATCGACGCCGCGTTCGCCGCACTCGGCGCGGACGCGTCGCCGGCGGGCGCGCTGGGCGGGCGGCAGCTCGCTGAGGCGCTGCAGCGGGGCGGGGAGTCCATGGGCGCGGCGGAGCTGGGGCGGGTGCTGCAGGTGAGGTGATTTCGCGAGGTGCTGCAAGCGGTGCCTATGGCCAGTACAATCCCAGGTGGGATTGCCTCGAAAACTCAACAAAACAGACTTTGCGGAGTGTTTGCACCCTTTTGTAGTTTGTACAGGCATGGTAATGGGGACGACTGGCTGGCGTTCGTGGGCCTGCCTGGGCGCCTTGAGCAGCGCAACTTGCAAAACGCCACTCCCGCCGCTGCGCACTCGCTTGCTGCGGCCGCTGGCGCCTGGCAGGTGCTGACGGCAGCCGCGCCGGCGGCGGAGGCCCTGGGGGACCGGGTGACGGCGCTGTCTTTTGCCTGTGACGTCCTGGGGTTTGGTGCGGCGCGGCAGGAGTGAGCGGGGGCCTCGGCCGCAGCACGTCTGGCGTGGAGTTGACGTGCTGATGGGGCGGCGGCCAGCGCAGCTCGACTGGGCAGTATGCATTTACCAGTGTAAACGATGAACATGATGATTTTATGACACCTCCAGCACGCGGTCTCTTGCATCTGGGGTGGTTGCTTCGTGCCGCTGCGGCTGGTATGTGAGGACGGGCGTGAGGACGTCGTGCCGACACCGCAGCCGGCTGCTTGCCTGGTCGCACCGTGCAATGGGGCAGGGCGCCAGTGGGGATGGAGGTGCGGGCTCAGCGCGCAATCGCTGTAAAGTGCATCCTACAGCCCTGGTGTCCTGTCGCCCCCCCCTCTGCTAGCTTCGCTTGATCATATCCTGTCTGTGTCTACACATACACCAACCCCACCCGTCACTAGTACGCTGCCGGGGTCCAATGCCCCTCTGAGCCATAGAAAAAGAGAAAGTTCCATGTTCAAGACTCAAATGACCAACCATAGCGCCTCGTATGATCGTATCCCTGCGGTGCTCAAACCGCTCAGTGACCACCAGTGTCGTGGCGCCATCTCGGGCATAGCGGGCAGCGAGTTGAATTGAACAATCGAGATAATTTAGAGAAAACACAACGTGTCGGTAGCCTTGCGCTGCACGCAGATCTATCTCGTCGTGCGTGTGTCCACCTACGTCCCTCTCGACACGCCCATTCATGGAGCAACGCGCTCTGCAGAGAGCCTCTGGGCTCAAGTGTACCGAAACTTCCCTGCTGGCGCGCACTGTGCCCCATGCGGCACGGCGCGTCCCCGCAGTGCAGGCAGGCCGCGCGCCGCTGCTGATGCGTGCCCACGCAGCAGCGGAATTCGGAGGACAACGGCAGCCGCGCTCCGTGCTGGCACGGGCGCTGACATCTGTAGACCCCAACCCACCAGTGAGGACGGGAATGGAGACGCGGGGGCACGGAGCACTCATGAGCACCCGTGCCAACACACAACCTCACACACAGGCACGCACGCGCCGCCACCGCCTCTGCCTCGGCCCCGGGCGCCCGGCCGCAGCATCCCCTCTGTTGGCGGCCCAGCAGCGCGCCCAGCACCGAGAGCATCATCACCCCTACGAAACAATCAACGAGCCCCCCCGCGCCGCGCGCCCCTCCCAACGCTGTGCCCCCCCCCCAACAAAACGACGCAAGATGCCGACGATGCCGGCGACCGTGGCCGTCACGACCGAGGGCGTCGCCGCGTTCCCTGTCACCCGCGACGTGACCCTGCTGCGCGGCAGCTGCAACGAGCGCCTCAAGTACGAGATCGAGTACGCCCTCAAGCGGGGCACCACAGAAAACGCTTACCTCATCAGCGTGCCCGGCGCGGGGGGCGCGGGGGCGCCCAAGGGCAGCGTGCTGGTGGATGTTCCCTTCAAGGCCTTCCAGAACGAGTTTGGTGCGCGCGCCTGCGGGGGAACTTGTTTGATGGGACTTGTAGTGGGGTTGGGTCGGGCAGCGCTTATTTGGTGGGAGCAGCCGCAGCTGCTGGGAGCATCCCCTGTGCGGTGCAGCGGCGGGGGAGCGCCCGCTGGTCGCATGCAGGCAGCTGTTTTGGCCGCGGCCCACGGGACGTTATTGGCCGCCGCTGGCGCCGGCCGGCGGCCAGGGGGGCTGCAGCATGCGCCAGCAGCTGGCGCCCGCCATTGCTTGCCCCCGCAGCCCGCCCCCCGCGCCTTCCCAAACTCCAACGGCCCTCGCACCCCTCCTTCCCACACGCAAACCACACCCCCACCCACCCCCAGTGGAGTGCCTGTCGAAGCAGACCGACCTGGCGCACCTAAACACCATCATCATCACCCACATGGGCCCCAACCGCATCCCTACGCTGGCGGCCGTGCTGGATAAGGCCGTCGCGGCGCGCGGCCCGGGGGCGCCGCCGCTGCAGCTGGTGATCAGCAACCCGCTGCTCAAGGTGCTGGAAGCAAACATGGCAGGTAAGGGGGCCGCAGAGGGGGAG